GGATTTTCACTCACAACAGCGGCTGTCTGCTGTAACTCAATCCGCCCGAATTAACCCCGTGCAGGGTCCCAGAGCCCCGGGCGCTCGCGGCGGCTTGTCTCTCAGTGCCTGTAGCCTCGAAGCGGCTCAAAAATTATTTCAGTTTCAGTTAACACACGGGCGCCTTTCAGACAGTTCGGTTGTTTGTGTTTCGGTATAATATTTGCTCCGTTATTTCGAGTACATAGATATAGGTACATATATTATTATACCTAGAAACGCCAGCGAATAATTCTAAATATTAAATGAATAATAAAAAAAATAATTTCTCGTATGCTCGTATTTTATAATACTCTGTACATTAATTTGTAGATTGTTAAAATTTGTATTCTGTATGTTTTTTTTTTTTTACATTTTGTACTCTGGACGATTTGGTATAATTTGTACTCGACATTGACTCGAAGAAATCAGCGTGTGCGCGAGAACAAAACTCGGGGTCCTCGTGCCAAAAACCGCCAACCGCCGATGGATGCGACTCGAGCGACTGTTTTTGCTCAAATCGATCAATTCTTGCATCTTCTTAAGCTGAAAGATGCACTTTAAAATTGAAATAGTTACCTATGATCAATTACTTTATTATGTAATATATTATATCGTTTTTATAAATGTTTTTTTTAGAGAGAATGAGGAGAATTTTAGAGAAATATGGAGAATTCCCTTCCCGGCAAAAAAGGACAACGAAAATTAAGAGCAGAAGTGCGACATGCGATGGGTTTAGAAACAGTTTGGTTATTGAAATCAGTTATATAATGAAGTACAATTCACGATTCAGGCCTTTCAAATCACATTTCTACGAACGAGAAAAAAAACAGTGGGAATCCTATCGAATAAGTACAATTACAGCGTCGAAATGTGACCGTTCAGACACCACAAGAAAGACCGCTATGGACAGAGCGGGACTCCTCTCGGCTAGATAACAGTCATCTGTGAAGCATTTTAATCTTGCGCGCTGCACAAAAACGAACGCCGCACAAATTTCGTTTTCGGCCTGAGTATTTCTTTTAATAAGTACAGATGAAGAGAGAAATGGATCGGCAGTCCGGGAGAGAGGTTATATCGGATCAGTTCCGTCCCGAAAACCGGCGTTTCGCACAGCGGGATGCGCTGGAGTCCGGTTCTCCCGTGTTCTACAGATGTTCCGACCCGCTCTCGGGTACGAACACGGCCCACGGGACCCGGGTACCGTTACTCCGGAATCCCGAATTCGTTTCCTGTTTGACCACCGACTGACATTTTTTTTTTAAATCCCTTTTCTGTAAAAAAAAAAAGGACTAAAACCGAAATAATGCGATTTCATGCTCATAATGTTCTCAGGTTTCTCCTGCAACAGCGCGCCGTGCCCTGTAATTGTGCCACTAGGCGTCTCGTCCCCCGCGTGAACACGGATTGTATTAAACATAATTCAATTCGCTTTTTTGAGAGCGGGAGAGTTTACACTGACAGCTGCTTCATCTCAGCCGGGTTAAAACACACACATATTCAACGTCATCGGTTCCGCTTTCCCGTTTCAAACCTCAAGAAATCCTTTTCCTAGAAATTCCGTCCCGCGCCGCTTATATACCACGTAGTTACACTGACGCTCCAAAATCTATTTCTGTTCTTTTACAATTATTACAGTTTTTAAAAAAGTAAGTAATTTAGCACACAGGTTGGATCAGTAAAATAGTATAACAGCGGAATAGCCCGACACGCCGCGTAGTGAAAAGATGTCTGACAAATACCCAGTCTATTATTATTATTAGTGTTGTTATGGTTATTATTATTAATACTAAATAGCATAATACAGATATTAATATTTAAGATATGTTAAGTATATTAACGAACGTATATTATTTGTGTAACAATAACAGCTGTAAAATTTGCATTTTGCGCAAGAGTATTATTATTATTATTATTATTATTATTATTATTATTATTATTATTATTAATCTGAACACGGTGGGATTATGTGACAGTCACTCAACGTGGACAGGACTCAAGACAGACGGCAGACCTCAGGATTGCAATGTGGATTGTGGGTAATATCGCTAAGAACGCCGGTTAGGTGTCAGAGAGCGGAGAGTATTTTGGATTGAGAGGAGAACGCCTGACCAGAGGGCAGTTATTCACAGAGGCCAGTAACCAGGGGCACACAAAGTATAGTTGTCATATAGCACAGGTGCTGACGATCTGGCACAGACTCTCAGAGCTGGGCTGCAGGTTAGAAGGATATGTCCTAGGGCAGGTGGACAGGTACACTGTGTGACCTCTGGTGTCCACCTGCTGGGCACAGTGAGGTCAGGGTCTGGCTGGACACTGCTGACCCGCAGTGGGGCTCCCTCTCCTCCTGTGAATGACCAGCTGAAGAAATGACCATCCATCTGGCCACAGCACAGCCATTCTGCCAGCCCTGAGCTGACCACAAGCCCTACAGCCCACAGGTAGATATTCAACCCCACTCACTCTCCCACCCCACACCAGATACCCCACACACTCACCCATCCCCCACACCAGATACCCCACACACTCACCCATGGGCCCAGGGGAAGTGGGTGGCGCCAGTGTGGCAGAGCTGTGTCAGTACAGCTTAAGGGGTCTCTCTGCTCCAAGCCAGAGCAGATCCAACAGTCCAACATGTCCCCAATCTCCCACTGGCTCACTGGCGCCCCCTAGCAGGGCAGGCTGCTGTCTCTGCTGTGCTTGGCGTAGCCTCAGGCCTGTGTCACTCACCCTATTCTGAGAAGAGCAGACGCAGGGCTCCTGTCAGGGGTATGTGAGGCACGGGGAGGCACTGTGCTCTGGGGTGCCCACTGCAGGAAAGGCGCTATATAAAACCATCCCACACACCCACAGTTCCCAGTCCTGGGACGAACACAAGCTATAGGTGCTGAAGAGCTGGGGCTCCTCCCTGCAGGCAGCTTGTAAGGCGCTGTATAGTCTTAAAGGGGAACTGCAGTGCTATTTTTATATTTCAGGGTTAGAAAGACTCAGCATTGATGAGCGCATTTCAAACCGCAATGAAAGTAAAATGTAACACAGTAACGTGTAAAACCTCCAACTATCACAAAATAGACAACATTTCCAGGTATGCGCAGCACCTTGTTCTGCGATTCAGAACGGGGCAACAAAACTTCCGGTGACGAGTTTCCATTGTAAACCAGCAGGCTTGGGAATATATCTCTTTGAATCCAATAGAAATAGTGCTCTGGACTTCTAGACAGTTTTGCCAACAAATACAACTTACTTGTTAACTCTGCATGCCAATCACATTGGAACACGTCTGCGGCACAGCCTGTATTTATATGGCCCTACATCCCACGACATTAGTTCTTACAGGGACTAGTGAGCAGGAAGGGCAGCATCCCATTGCAATCCGTAGGAACTCAAATGAGGGTTGGCGACAACAAAGCGACTTACAGTACTTTCACAAAGCTCACGATTCTGTGCTAAATTCGAAATGTCATTTTTTTTTCCCTGTAACGTCAATTTATTTTGTTGCCGAGGTTCGAGAACCGGTCGGAGGGATCAGGACTGCTGCTCCCCTCTAACCCGACCCCTGCTCTCTGCCTGTCCCCCCCCCCAGCTGCGCTGACGCCCTTCACGGTGTCCCGGCGGATCGGGCACCCGTACCAGAACCGCACGCCGCCCAAGCGCAAGAAGCCGCGCACGTCCTTCTCGCGGGTGCAGATCTGCGAGCTGGAGAAGCGCTTCCACCGGCAGAAGTACCTGGCAAGCGCCGAGCGGGCCGCGCTGGCCAAGACCCTGAAGATGACCGACGCCCAGGTCAAGACCTGGTTCCAGAACCGCAGGACCAAGTGGAGGTACCGGCCCGCTGGGACGCTGCCGGCCGGGGGTGAGGGGAGGGAGGGGATGGGGCCGCAGGGCTGAGAGGTTGTGCACATGAACATGATGGTTTTGCCAGTAATACTGTACCTGATGCCACTGTTACTGCTGGTCTGCTAATACTGCTGCTGCTGTTATCACTAATACTGTTCCTGCCGCCACTGTTACTGCTGTTAATACTGCTACTGCTGGTATCACTAATACTGCTCCTGCTAATACTACTACTGCTGGAATCACTAATACTGCTCCTGCTAATACTACTACTGCTGGAATCACTAATACTGTTCCTGCCGCCACCGTTACTACTGTTAATACTACTACTGCTGGTATCACTAATACTGCTCCTGCTAATACTGCTACTGCTGGAATCACTAATACTGCTCCTGCTAATACTGCTACTGCTGGAATCACTAATACTGCTCCTGCTAATACTACTACTGCTGTTATCACTAATACTGTTCCTGCTGCCACCGTTACTGCTGCTAATACTGCTACTGCTGGTCTGTTTATACTGGTACTGCTGGTATCACTAATACCGTTCCTGTTGCCACCGTTACTGCTGCTAATACTATTAATGCCGCCACTGTTACTGCTGCTAATACTGCTACTGCTGGTATCACTAATACTATTAATGCCGCCACCGTTACTGCTGCTAATACTGCTACTGCTGGTATCACATATACTATTCCTGCCACCATGGTTACTGCTGCTAATACTGCTACTGCTGGTATCACTAATACTGTTCCTGCCACCACCGTTACTGCTGCTCATACTGCTACTGCTGGTATCACT